ACCTCTCAACAAAAGTTTGCTCCAGGCACAGTCAGCCCATTGTATGCTAATCAAGGTGGACAGTTGAAACATCCACACCTAGCTCCAGCAGAAAAGAGTCCTTTGTCTCACCCTGGTCATTCCACAGATACATAAACCCCTTTTTCCTAGTTCCAACAGACCTCACTACCTCTGAGGATGCTTACCATAGATGCAGGCGAAACGTCAGGAGAGAATGCCTCTAGACCATGGCCATACAGCCCAAAAAAAACCCTACAACAACCCAGTGATTCCGGCCATGAAAGCCTTCAACAATACACCTTAATACCTCTTGGTATCTCTAACCTGACAGTAATTCATATTCTGTGGCAAAGAAATCCAGACTCAGTTGGGATGAGCTGAATTTGCTATATATTGTGGAAATACATATATTTCTTTTACTTTGATATAGAACACATGTGTCAAACACAAGGCCCATGGGCCAAATCGGGCCTGCCACATCATTTTATATGGCCCATGAGTCTTACAATGACAAGGCAACATAGTTGCATTTATACTGTCTTACAAAGAATCTCTTGAAGGCAACCATAAGACCGATGTTGCCGTAGGTGAAAATGAGGTTGGCATCTCAGTATAAAATATGTCTGCAGCCAATAAAGGAAATACAGCAGCAGTGGAAAATCATAAAAACTAAAGGCAGAGACTGCATAAATAGTTTGTCCAAACTCATTTGAAATGGACAGTATAAGGACCCTTGCCCAGTGCTGTGACATAGTAGCACCAGCAGATGTCAGACTATCACCCCTTGGGAAGAAGGGAGCGTTAGGGACTACAATGGTGGGCAGGGGCTCCCTGGTTGTCAATTTATAGGTTCAGTTACATCTGAGTGCGAAACTGAAGAATCTCTAAGGTAAGATCTTGGTATACAAACAAGATCATGTCAGAGAACATGCTTCTTGGCACTGAGCTATTTCCAAAACCAGGGATAGTATCCACAACTGTATTGAAGGTAGTGGAGATGGTAGGCAGAATAAGAAGGTCACCCAGAGTCACAAGGCTGTATTTGTTGCACTCCAGGGCAGGAAAAGCCCTCTGGTTCTAAACACCACACATTTAATAGGTAAAAACAACCCTTTTATTGAAGATAATTAAAAAGCAGCAGAATAGAAAGCACTTTATAGAAATAGGTAAATCCAATTAGGTAAAAAGATAAGCAGGAACAAAATAGTCCAGGGTACAGTTCAGCAAAGTTCAAGAAAACAAAGTCCACACTTCTCTAATATAATCCAAAAAAACAGGAAACATTAATCCAAGGCATGAGTATGCAATCATAAAATACAGGAATCAAAATCATGAAACAAGACATAATTAAGCATGAATCTTCCAAGCAAGGTTTCCATGAAACAAGGACGAGAAGTTAATTCTAAACAATGCTTCATCTGACTACATTTTCTATACTTGGAACTTTTATCCCCTCGTTAAGCTATCCCAAGCACTCAGAAATTGGTTTCGCATTAATTGAGATTTCCTTATCTTTTTCTGTCAGTCTGGCAGAACGCCGAAGCCACTGTTCGGCCTGTCTGTTTTGACTAACCTCCTGCCTTCTATCTATTTGCTCATTAACTTCTGCAGGTGCCGAGTTGTTTTCAAGCCCCAAATCCTGGGAACTCTCTGGTAGCAATTCAGGGAGTACACCATCATCCCCACACCCTTCAAGGACATTTTCATGAGAAACTACACTTTGAACAGGGATCTCCAGTTCATTCTCTGCATCAGTCTCACTACCCAAGCCATTGCCATCTTGAAACTCATTGACATCACTCCCCACATCCAAAGCACCTTGATCTTGAAACACAATCACAGACTAAGCTCCAACAGTATTATTGCCAAATCTAGATCTGAGGCCAACTGATAGCACTAATACCTTGCCTTGTAAGATTATTTGTTGTCATCCTTGAGGATCTGACAAATGTAGAGCTGTTCTTACCCATTCAAAATTCATCTTTTCCCCCACCATAAAACCTCGGGACCAGAGGATGTTTTGGACAAATAGAAATAGCATCTTGTGCTGCCAAAGTATATAATCTTTTTCTTGAGAGATGGCTCATTGAATCAGCAGATCACAAATGGTTCCCTTCCGTCACTTGTGAATGGAGTTGCCATATCACCCAGATAGTTGAGTTTTACTTGAATTCTAGACATGTCATTTAGTGCCTATTTGGATTATTATTTGACTCAGATTCCTTACTCCCATTTAAAAAAAATAGGCACAAGAGAGGAAGAGAGCAGAAAAGATGGTAGAGCAAACAGTGAGGATGGCAGAATATAGGAGAAAAGAGAAGGATGAATTATGAGGATTCTTCTGGAAAAAATGCCATAACCTTTTGGGAAATGGAAATTTCCATAACCTTTTGGAAAATTGCATTCATTACCATTTGGGAAAAGCAGGAATCTCCCTGAGAAGAATTAAAAACTTGCTTGAGTCAACTTTCTCCTTAGTGGTAAGTATCCACTAGCATTCATGCAAAGCAATTGGTTTCTCAGCCGTTAAACTAATATACCTAGATATCTCTTTGAACTGTAAGGGACAAAGATATGGCAATGACAAAACATTGAGAAGTAGAGTTTCAGAAGTGTTCTTTCAGTTGCCCAAAAAACATCTACTCTCCCTTAAAACATCTTGGTTTAAATCATGATCTCAAGAGACAAAAATAAGTCGACTTCTTTAAAAGTAATAGTTGGTTCACTCACAAACTTTATGTATTCATCATACAGGTACTTTGCTTATAAATCCAGTTACAAATAGATTTGAAGTACACTGTTCCCTCACTTATCATGGGGGTTACGTTCCAGGACCACCTGCGATAAGTGAAAAACCGTGAAGTAGGAATGCCCCCTCCTCTTCCCTCCTCACTTTACTTCCATCTTCCTCCTCCTCATCACTGCCTGGGCCTCTTGCCGCCACTTGGGCCCTGTGATTGAGGAGGCGGCGGAGGTATTGCGGGGCCCAAGCAGTGGCAAGAGGCCCCGGTGACCATGAGGAGGAAGAGGAAGGTAAAGAGGGTGAGGAGGGAGGAAGAGCCGCCCCCTCGCTCTCTTGGCAGCAAAATGCCCCAGCGACGACCAGGAGGAGGAAGATAAAGAGGGCAAGGGGGTGGCTCTTCATCACCGAGGCCTCTTGCTGTCGCAATTGAGGAGACAGTGGAGGTGGCGCGGGGCCCAAGCGGCGGCAAAAGGCCCAGGCTGCCACAGCGTGCAATATTCCCTCACTATATACAGTGTGTGTGTGTGTGTGTGTGTGTGTGTGTGTGTATACATACCGTGAAACATCAAGTCCGCAGTAAGTGAACCACGAAGTAGCGAGGGAACACTGTAGTTTCTCTGTGCAGATAACACAGGGCATCTTAACGGTCCAAAGGCCAAAGCATCTCTCTGTTCTGAGAGTCTAATAGAGTCTCTGTTCCCTAAAGTATTCAGTTTCTACTGACTTGTAAAAGCATTCTGTTTCTACTGACTTCTAAACTACCGTTTCTACTGGCCTCTAAAAGAATACGGTTTCTAAAATGGAGTCTGAGTCCTGAACAATCCCAGATCGGATCACATGGTCTACTGCCCTTCCCACAACATAGAGTTAAGGAAAACTGCATACAAATGCACACATAT